GCCACTTTCTCCCAACACATCAAAGATACCATTGATGCAAGAAATACACTCGCTGTTTTCGTCGATTTCAAATCAGCATATGACTTAGTATCAATGCCCATGATGCAAGAAATACTCTTACGGCTGTATTCACCTCCCTTGATGCAAGAAATACTCTTACGGCTGTTTTCGTCGGTTTCAAATCAGCATATGACTTAGTATGGAAAGAGAAGCTAATTCGAAAATTGGTGCAAGAAATACCCTTGCGGCTGTTTTCGTCGATTTCAAACGCATATGACATAGTATGGAAAGAGAAGCTAATTCTAAAATTGGCATATGTTGGGTATTAAGAATAACATGCTAAACTGGATAAAAGCATTCAATGAATCATTTTACAAATGGAAATGCTCTATCAAAATCCAATCTTTTACAAACAGCTTAAATGCTCTATCAAAATCCAATCCTTTACAAACAGGCCTTTCACAGGGTCCACAGGAAGCTGTCACAACCTGCACTCTTTTCAATGTCCTCATCAATGACATAGCCGAATTGGTACAGACAGTCACGAGCATGCAATGACATAGCCGAATTGGTACAGACAGTCACGGGCATCAAGTGCAATAGCCGAATTGGTACAGACAGTCACGGGCATCAAGTGCTTACTTTCCGCAGATGATCTTGTTCTATGGTATTCCGCCCCTAAGAAAAAATGATCTTGTTCTATGGTATTCCGCCATTAAGAAAAACGCTAAGGAGAGGACAGAAAGTGCTCTTAATAGTGCACTTAAACTACTAGCCAACTGGTGATACAACAATGGAATTGTAATTAATGCGGCAAAAACTGCATTCCAAACATTTTCTTTGGCCCATCACAGCATAGACCCGCTTCTAAGGTACAAGGATACTATCCTAGAAAAAACCTATGAGTTCACTTATCTCGGAATGACTTTTGACACAAAGCTAATGTGGAAAAGTCACATTGCTAAAATAGCAGAACGAGTCTCCAATAGACTGAATGTACTGAAGCGTCTTGCTGGTAGTGTATGGGGCTGTGTACGCTCAACTCTTGACACCACTTACAAGATGTTTATTCAGCCAATAATGTTGTATTGCTGTGAGGCACTCATTACAGCAACTGCGCATTCCCATGGATAAGTTCTTCAGCACCTATGAGAGTAGACCAAGACATCTGAAAACGCAATCTGGTCTAATACAGAAAGCCATAGAACTGAAGAAAGCATTACAAATTGATGACAAACCAAAAAGTCTGTCTCTACCCATGAACCCATTGGCAGACACTGATGTAGTGTGTTGCACCCAACTGCTTGACTTCTTCAGGAAATCAAACACCCCTCCAGAACAAATGTGCTCACTGGCCCTTGAGACAATCAATGTCAACTATCCTGGAGATCAATGGCTTCAAGTCTTCACTGATGGTTCGGACATAGAAAACCAAGCAAACGTTGGTGCTGGTGTCTATTCTGAACTCTTCTCTTTCTACGCAGCAGTGGAACATAATAGATTCGCCTTCGAAGCTGTGATACTTTCGGACTAACAGTCAGCAATAAACTCAATTGGAAACAGAGAGACACCCAAAACAGCTGAGATAAAGGAATGTAGAAAACTCTATGAGCTGCTGAGAGAGAAAAACAAAACAGTGGTCCTACAATGGATTCCTGGTCACTGTGTCATTAAAGGCAATGAGCTTGCCGACACACTTGCTAAGAAGCGGGCAACGATTTTGCAGTTCATGGACCGGCCGATATCTTTCCACACAATGAAGGCCTTAATCAGGAGAGAATTCAAGACCTCAAGGTGCACACTCCGACATAGCCCACTGGCCAAGAATCGAAGCCGTTGCTGAGTGTAGACTATGTACCGGACACGATTGCTTGGCAAAACACCTTCACAGATTGGGAGTCTACTCTCAACCCACATGCCCTCTATGTTGCCTACAGGTGGAAATGGAGAAGACCCACCGGATTATGTGTCCATCCCTAAAGGCAACGACGGTAAGCCAAAGATACTGGGAAGCAAGAAGACAGCTAATGAATTGCTATTAATTATCTGCTATAAATGTACTCCCCTCCCCTTCTCTTGGGGAAGCTGAAGTCAAAGATTAAGGGCTATTGATAAATATCACAAAGTCTGCCATTTGAAATAAATAAATCTTTCCATCTCAGAAAATGTGCTATCTTTTAAGTGCCAACATTACTTATTTCATTCACAATGCCAAAGTCTTGGAGGCTTTATATTTTGTGACTCAAGTATTTGATTGCACCATAAAGGGGATTTGCGGTATCACCATAAATGTCTCAACCTATTCATGAGTGAGCAGAGAGACTTGAAACCGAAAAAATGCAGTACGTGCGGAAGGACTGTGGAATCATGCCATTCTAAAATGTAACGACTCAGTTGGAACAATAATTCCTGTTTGAAGACTGAGTGCTAGAGGCGTTAGCACAATCGTGGTTTATAAGATATTAACAGTAATCCTCAAGTTATCTTCTTTGGTGTCTTGAAAGAACATGGAGCCAAGATTTAGCAGCAAATAAGTCTAATCAATTAAATTGGAACTGATAACGTAAAGGGTGAAAAACAATTCATGTTCTCATTTACAAAAGATTTTTTGTCAGTTACTAACGAATTAGTTTGCATCTGAAATAATGATTCTATCTTTAAACCAATTAAATTTAGTCTAAGGCTGCCGGATTTTTAAAAGCAAAGCGAATTAAACACCTTTGGAAATAGAGAGCAGTGTATTGGCAGAAGAGTAATATATACAACCCTTGAAGGGCGATAAAGGTAGACAAATTGGAGTAACATTAAATCGATACCTTAAGGACGTTCTTTTACAATAATACGCATTGTTACAATCACGTTTTCTGGAAAGAAATTCAACAGAAGTGCACATCAAGAATGATAAAATTACAACAAATTTGGCAATGAACCCAACTTGGTAAAACGTAGGCTCCTAAGTTAGGACTACGAAACTCAAATTCAACGCGAACAGTCATGATACTAAGCACTTGAGACAGATAAGTTGATACGCAGCCACAACTGTGAGAAGAAAAACAAGGTAAAGGCAACGAGTGAATTTAACGCATGGGACACGGGATATTTACAAATCAGATTTCTTCAAGCAATTTTTACAATGATTTGCATTGGATCACATGACATTCGCAACTTGCTTCAATGACATCCAATATTTTATCTCGAGGTATACACTCGATATTGCGAAGAGCCTAGCAAGGAGTACCACGAACTAGTTCCCCAGTCAGTCAGCAAACGCTTCCTTCAGTGTCCAAATTGTGTGGCATGGAGTGTGTGTTGGAACAATGGAACTATTCCATTGCAAATACTATGATTTGAGTACGCTCGTGCACGGGATGAAAATTCACTCAATCCTAAGCACAGTCCAAAATGAGGCTTGGCGTGGAAGTCTATTTCAGCGAACTTACTTCTCCTCCACTAAACTGCTTGTGCAACTCGAATGAGATCCAAGTGATACTAGCCCTACTTGCAATGGACTGGAACGGGATCGAAATTTCATCAAGTCAAGTACCCTTTAGTATTACCTTCAATGGTTGCTAATAGTGTGTCTTCTGCACCAACGAGAGAAGAATCGCCCACCAGGTCGTATGGAGAGGACGATCAGGATTCACACAATAATTCTCTCTTTTGTTTAGATCCTCGTGTGGTTGCATACCCAACTCATCAAGTTCACATGAACACTTTGGAGGCCACACAATCTCCCTTCTCTGAAAAGCACTAAGCCACTTAATCAGGAGTTCTTAAATAAGGTTCATGTTGCATGCTTCGCCTCCATTCCTAGTTTCACCTTCCACACCAACAGGCCAAGAATCGAAGATATTGCTGAGTTTGGATTACGTACTGGACACGATTGCTTGGCAAAACTCCTTCACAGATTGGGAGATCAAAACACCTTCACAGATTGAGAGTATACACTCAACCCACATATACTCTATGTAACCTACAGGAGGAAATGGAGAAGTCCCACCTGTCTATGTGACCTACAGGAGGAAACGGAGAAGACCCACCATATGTAACCTACATGAGGAAATGGAGAAGACCCATCTGATCTGTAACCTACAGGAGGAAATGGAGAAGACCCACCTGATGTGAAACCTACAGGAGGAAATGGAGAAGACCCATCTGATTCTTAATCTAAGAGAGTATACACTCAACCCACATGCCCTCTGTGTAACCTACATCAAAACACCTTCACAGATTGAGAGTATACACTCAACCCACATACTCTATGTAACCTACAGGAGGAAATGGAGAAGTCCCACCTGTCTATGTGACCTACAGGAGGAAACGGAGAAGACCCACCCCTATGTAATCTACAGGAGAAAATGGAGAAGACCCACCTGATTCGGTGTTCAAAGGAGGAAATGGAGAAGACCCACCTGATTCGGTGTCTAGCGATCAACCCACATGCCCTCTATGTAACCTACAGGAGGAAATTACCCATATTCCCCCTATGTAACCTACAGGTGGAAATGGAGTAGATCCATCTGATTCGGTGTCTAGTCCTAAAGACAACGATGGAAACCCAGAGATACTTGGAAGCATGACGACAGCTAATGAACTGTCATTAATTAACTGCTATGTATGTACCCCAACTCATGGGGAAAGCTCAAGTCAAAGGTCGACATCTGAACTAGCTAAAGTGCAAATATGAGAAAAGCAATTGACAATGGAATTGCACTATTCCTGTTTGAGGTTTCAAATGCGTATTCATTCTCATGATAATTCAAAACCCAAGGTCATTTAACATTAGTGAAAAGAAGAAGTTTTTTCATAATTGGAAATGTCAGAACCCAGAATTACTATATATCAAGATGAAGGTAAGTAAAATGTCAGGCCGAGCTTTTCTTTGGGGGTTCTAGATCTCTTATGATATCTGCAATCGATATAATCTCTCCTGGACGTACATTAGATGATGAAGGAGTTTTAACAATTCAAGGGCCAAATTGCCCCTGGTAACCTCCTTCCCTCACACCGTTTCACTCCACTTAAGGCTAGCTAACTTACCATTAGCTATGAAAGCAAAATCTTAGTCTTCTTGGCAGGAACCGATCAGTCTTTTTAGGGGGTGGGAGGGGGGCGGACTAATTTGCACTCTGCTTTAAAATTAAAAAGCTGATAACAAAAATTTTCCCTTTTTTGTTGGCATCAATAAAGTGGAGCCATATTCCACGTAACCACTTACTCTCTATGAATTTGGGTGTCTCGCATACTAAGCCAAAGGTAGGTATCAGCATTTTTAATGGGTTGCACAGCAGATTTACCTCCACGTGGTGCACTCTGAACAACGTATTCTCACAAGACAAAAAAGTCTACAAACTGGCAGTTGACTTCTCATTTTCAACTCTTTTACATATGCGAATAACTCCTCTGTCCCCAGTCCCCACTCCCCCCCCCCATCGTATTTTGTGACTTTGATGTTGCTCCCCTCTGTGGAGCCTGAAGTCAACAAAAGGGCTCATGATAACTTTTATTAAGCCTGGAATTTTAAATAAATGAATAAATACATAGATAGATCCACATTTATTATTAAAGACCACTCTTTCTACTAGAAATTAAAAATCGGAGATTAGAGAAACGTAGCATACCGACAAATAGCATTTGTGACGAAACATAAAGTTTGTCAGGATGTTGGTTGGAGTTGAGGGGTCATGTGCGAAGTTCATTCTCTAAAAGATTTGTGAATCTAGGCCAGTCAGCCTTCTTGAAGTTCCATCATAGCCTAGTTGGCACTTTCTATGTCATGCTTTTGCTGCCGATGGTAATACTACCAATGATTGGTATGTGACCAGAACCAGGATCGTCAATTATTTTGTGGCGTGTATGCTCGCTGATGTCGCTTGAAGCCAGGAGCAAGTCAGGAGTTGTTCTGGTTCCATTGTAGTGCAAATATGTAGCAGAATCCTCAATGCTGTAAATAAGTTCCAGAGGGTTGCTGTTTAGAATGTCTTCAATTTCCTTTCCAGCTATGTTTGTACCCTTGTAACCCCTTCTTGTGGAATGGGGGTTGAAGTCTCCTTATACTCCAGTTTTGTGTGAGATTTTCAGAAGATCAAAGTTAGGACTATTCTGGGGTGGATTATAGATTGCATACATCTTGAAGTGGTTTTGACATTTCCAAACATTTAATCTGATTATTTCACACATGTCTTGTGTCGAGCCCATACTCTTGATTAGATCGTAGTGTGAGGTGAGGCCTTCTTTTACTCCAGTCACAATTCCACTTGTCATTTGCCGTTATTTAGGTAGAAGGTACAGGGTGTAACCTGGGAATTGGTAGTACTTCAGTTTGTCATCCGAAACGTTTGCTTCCATAATTGTGAAAATGTCTACATCATAGATTTGTAGGATTTTCTAGACTTGGATCTTCTTGTCCGGTGGCATCCCTCCAGCATTCCACTGGAGGATGTGTAGACGTTGTGATTCGCCCTGACGAGGGCGATTTCTCTTATAGCTTTGTTTCAAGCTAATCATTTATTTATTTCAAATGGCAGGCATATTAATAGTTATCATTAGCCCTTTAGTTGACTTCGGACCTCACAGAGGGGGGGGCGGGGGAACAATATAGTGTGAAAAATTCGAGAGGGGGGGGGGGAAGAAGAGTGATTCACAGATGTAAAGCGAAAGCTAATCATAATAAATAGAAGTCAAAATACCGAGTGATAGACTTTTTTGCCTTATGAAAGTACGTTGTCTAGGGTGCCCCACGTGGAGGTAAGTCTATTGCTCACCCTTCGCAGAAACGAAAGTCAGGGACACCGCATGAACTCTAAATATTAGGAACTCAACGAGTAACTTTTTCCTTTCATTCAAATTTGGGTTGTTATGTTCTATACTATAGTGAATATTGGTGCATTTTATCATATTTTATATTGTATTGCAATTTATGTTTAATGGCCTTCGACGGCCATGAGAAAATGATCTAGTTAATTACACTCCAATGGATAAGATGGAGGTTCCTCAGTATTTTGACGTTTTTCGATAAAGTGACGTATGAACAAAGTGGTATGAGTAGAGGAAATGAAAATTCAGTTTGAAATTTTGCTTCTACTTTCCATTTGGTATGATTTCGATGACCGCTAGTTAGATATTTAGAAATGTCAAGGGCAATTCAAAACACCCGAAAGAGCTACAATACAAATCGCAATATAATATAATATATCATAATACAATGCCACCACCGACTGACCATGGCATGTGCATAGAGCTCAGCTCAAAAGATGAGATGAAATGAGCAATGAAAAGAGTAACATCACCGCGGGATCATGAAATTCACATGAAATATGAGACCAAAGGGTTCATGTGAACTCGAATTATTGGAAGGTGCCAAGGGTATAAAAGGCAAGGCAATAGTAAACATGCGTAAAAGACGTACATGGAAGAACGAAGAGAGATGGATTAGAAACAATCACCAGAAATGAAATAAATGGACCCAAGAATGTTGCCAGGTGGAGGCTATTCTAGTCCAGAGGAAATTGAAAAATCGAACTACGATGTGCAGCCAGAGTCGGGACAAAACAAAGCAACAAGGCAATATGCTGGCGAATTAGAATCATGGGAAAGCCTGCTCAAACTACAGTAGTGGTTGAAGGATGAAGTGGAGCCAGAGGAAAAATGACTTCATTCCGCTGCTCTTGACAAACCCATTTCAATGGCTCCTTCATATATAGTTTCTTCATTCCCCATTCTTTCACCTCTTGGTCCTTACACATCATCTGGTGGCGCCACAACTCTCAGTTTTATGCTTGCTCCTTTTCAACAATTGGGGGAGGGGGGAAGGGCCGAGGGGCCGAGGGGTTCATCCCACCAGGAGATTTGACTTGAATCTCTTCACATTCAGTGCACACAATGCTTAGCCACATTGGTTGAATCCACAGTCACACAAGTTGATTCACTTGACCTTGACATTACCCACCTCAATAATTCACAGTTTAGTGAGGATGGTATTGGAGGGAATGCAAAAGGCACTCTATATGAGCTGGGAATATGGTGCACTCGCCTTAGTGACAGACTGCGCGGAACAACACCCCACATATTGATGCAATCATTGGTGTTTGCATTTCTCATCTGCAGCCTTCTTTCCTTTACACACTATTTGTTGGAATCTATGCTAATTCGAATTAAGGACAATCACCAGTGTACTTCAATCCACAAGCATGAAGATCTAGTGGCACGCCTCATAAGAGAAGGTGTGGCGGCACAATCATGGAACTACACCCACGAGAAGTCATGATTCTAAGTATGGCCATGTCTCCTGACTATCCAAAGCACAAGCATAAACATGAGATGACATAAATTGAAATTTGCCTTACAAAATAACATCTTGAATGGTTGTTTTTAAGACCCGGGCAAGCTGACATCATGCGCATTGTTATTGAAGACTGAAATCTGAAATTATACCACATAAGTTTGTGGTTCAATGTTTTTTTGTGAATGCGAAGGTGGACAGAGTTGTCCCGAAATAAGGAACGCCGAAGAGCTTCATTTTTCAACTTTTTGATTCGCCTCAATTTAGTCCTTAAAGGTTTTTTAAATGGCGGGCTTTATGATATTTATCATTAGTCCTTAAACTTTGACTTCAGCTTTCCCCACGAGTTGGGGTACATAAATAGCAGTTAATTAATGACAGTTCATTAGCTATCTTCATGCTTCCAAGTATCTCTGGGTTTCCATCGTTGTCTTTAGGACTAGACACCGAATCAGATGGGTCTTCTCCACTTCCTCCTGTAGGTTACATAGGGGGCATGTGGGTTGAGTGTATACTCCCAATCTGTGAAGGTGTTTTGCCCAGCAATCGTGTCCGGTAAGTAGTCTAAACTCAGCAATGGCTTTGATTCTTGACCACCCGAAAATGTCGGAGAGTGTCACTGTCTACTGTTTCTCCTTTGTTCGAGGTTTAAGTTCGTTGCACCTTGAGGTCTGGAATTCTCTTCTGATTAAGACCTTCATTGTATGGAAATAAATCGGCCATAATAATAATATCATTGACCGGACCAATCAAATAATGGTAGAACATTTTATTTTAAAGCCCACAAATTTCTTCGATGACTGCGCCTGATCATATCTTGAAAATTCGGTGATTTTAAAAACAA